GTAAAAATAAATAAATAAATAAATAAATAAATAAATAATAAATAGACTGCACACCTGGTGCCCACCTCATCACTGTCCTTGCGGAGTAAGATAAGGCGTGCAAAGCACTTACTAGCACATGGCCCGGCACATAGTAATAACTGTGACTTTCCATGCATTGTCTTATTTAATCATCTGAAGCAGAGGAAGGTTAAGTCATTTCCCCAGTTACTCGCTAGGAGGGAGTGAATCCAGGGCCCCAAAGTCCTGTGCTGGCTCCTTGCCAGGCCTCCTCAGTAAGCCCCCCACAAGGCCACTGCTGTTAAAAGTTCTCCTGTAGCTGCAGTGGAAACCAATAATGGAAGATGAACCACAACAAGTTATCACCAGGATGGCTGGAAAGGAGTGAGTGACTTTAGCGACCATTTTCTATTGCTGCTCTGGGTGAGGGAAAGTTAGACTGAAAGACTAAAACCAAGCACTGTGAGTCAGTCTTAGTGCTAGTCAGCCTGCCCTCCCTCCGCCCACCCAGGAGAGCAGGCCCACTATGGAGATGCCTCATGTCTGGAATTAAGTGCTAAAAAGAACCAAGTCACCACAGGAAAGTAGAAGAACACCAAACAAATGGAGGGAGAGAGGTCCCAGGTGGCAAGGCTGGGCTGGGCACTAACTTGTAGCAGAAGTTGGCATCGTGCTTATAGAACCGGCAGAGGTTCCCATCATCGGGGGGCGTGGCACAGAAGAAGATGGTTGGTGACAGGTTGTATCGGCCAATCTTGCAAAATTCATCGATTTCTCGAGGAGCACCAGGCTCGATGGCAACGCGATCACCTGGAGAGGAAAACAGGAGCAGGCACAGAGGTGCTGTGAGGGGGCACAGGCTCATGGGCAGATACCAGAGAGGAATACCCAGGGTGTCCTAAGCAAGCCCAGGCCGTTAGTGCTTCCAAAGGAAACACAGGACACAGCACAGACACACTCTGGGAGAGAATGACCATCCCACTTCTCCACAGATGGGTCTGGCTTGCCCTTTTACTAACTCGTGGACCAGACCAACCTTCCCTCCAGCTCCACAGCCACTTCCCAGCTTGGAAAGGGAAACATAGAACCAGTCCCATCTCTAAGGCCAGCCAGCTCCACTTCCCGTGTCAAACTGCTGCAAAAGAGGTAGCTAGTGTGTGGAGTTTGCAGACACTTTTTTTCTTGACCTGTTTTGAAAACATGGGGCAAGGCCTTTACAAAAGCCATACAGTCTGGTTGTGTTTAGACAATAACTAGGAATCAACTGATTCCTGGTTAGCAGAAGCATTAAGGCAAACGACCCGCAGAGGCCTCCGACTCGGGTACAGCAGAGAGTGACACTCAGGCTTGTGAACCGCCCGCTCTATGGTACTTCTACTCTATGTCTTACTGGGTCTGCTTGGAAACCAAGCATTAGAATTGCTCTTCTCTCTTATCAGGAAAAATTTCAAGCACATCGCAAAGTTGAAAAACCTGTGCAGTGCATACCCAGATATCTTCCACCTAGATTCTTCAATTAACATTGAGCAACATTCACTTTATCACATACCCATCCATCCATCCATCCCATCTATCCATCTTCTCTGACGCATTTCAAAATAGGTTGCAGACATTAGTACACTTCACCCTTAAATACTTCAGCCTGCATAGCTGAAGGTAGAGTTCAATACTTGTTTATGGTTCTTTTTTAAGATAAAATTTTGATGTTGATGAAATGCACAAATGTTAAGTGGATCACCAGATAAATTTTGATGGATGCATTCACCTGTGTGATGTGAACCCCTGGCAAGATATAGAACAGCCCTAACCGGTTTGGCTCAGTGGCTAGAACGTCAGCCTGCGGACTCAAGGGTCCCAGGTTCGATTCCAGTCAGGGGCATGTACCTTGGTTGCGGGCACATCCCCAGTAGGGAGTGTTCGGGAGGCAGCTGATCGATGTTTCTCTCTCATCGATGTTTCTAACTCTCTATCCCTCTCCCTTCCTCTCTGTAAAAAATCAATAAAAATATATATTTTAAAAAAGATACAGAACATTGCCACTGTCTTGGAAATGTCATTCTATGTGTTCCTTCCCAGTCAATCCCTACCTCCCCGCAAGAGGGGTGTACTAGTGGTATTAGGGCCCTCCTGAGCCTGAACAATGTGCTGTTAGCAGCCAGAGAAGAGCCCTAGGAGGTCTGCCTTTTACTAAGCGGTGATACATTAGGCCATTTCTTGTGTCTTTTGTTTAAAAATACCCAGAGAATAGTGTAGAGTCCAGGTATGTAGTTAGTGCTCATTAAAATAGTGTTGGTGGCCGGGCTGGTGTGGCTCAGTGGTTGAGCATCGACCTATGAACCAGAAGGTTGAGGTTTGATTCCCAGCCAAGGGCACATGCCCGGGTTTCGGGCTCGATCCCCAGTGGGGGGCATGCAGGAGGCAGCCGATCAATGATTCTCTCTCATCATGTTTCTGTCTCTCTCTCCCTCTCCCTTCCCTTCTCTGAAATCAATAAAATAATATATTTTTTTTAAAGATAGATGACCTGATTGTATATAAATTAGGAATTCTTCCATGCCTTAGATTTATTGATTCTTTAATATTTATTTTTAAATTTTATAAACAAGTATATCAAGAACTACTCAAGGTTTTATTCTTTCTAGATTAGTTGATTAGAGCTTTAAGTCAAAGTTAGCAAATGAAACAATTACATAAAAATTTTGTATTCTAAAAGACGGTACCCACAGAAATCCCTGTGACCACTAAGATGTGATCTTCTACCTGTATGTCTCTTCCTTCTATGCCCTCTACTTTTGCTGCTGCCCAGTGAACTTTCTCCAAACTATGTTTCTAGCATTGACAATGAATTCTCCAACTTAGTATTCAAGATCTTTCAAACTAGGTGGAGTTTATATTATTCAGTTTTGTCTTCTAATTATTACATAATAACAACAATAATACAACTCACAGTTGTATGGTGCTTTTTCAAGAGGGAGTTTTGTACAGATTATGCAAATTATCATCCCTACTAACTGCCCAAGACAGAACCTCTGCTCTGAGCAGCACAGAGTTTATTAACAACAGATATAAAACTCTTGCCTCCATAATTTTATTATGCTGTTCCTCTTAACTGGAATATTAGCTTCTGATCTCTTCAGAAATTCAAATACAAAACCTTGCTCAAGTCTCCACATGCTGGGCAGCCCAGTGACTCTGCACACTTTTTCTAGTGTCAGAAAGACCAAGGCAGGCATCCTAGCTCTAAGGCTAACTAGTGTATGACCCCAGGCAATCTCCATGCTTCACTTTCTTCATCTGGAAAAATAATGCCTATCTTGTAGAGTTGTTTCAAGAACAAAGTAAGTAATTTTATGGGCAAGTATTTAACATGGAGAATAACAATATTAAATCAATAAATGTTATCTGTCTTTTCAGAATTATTATTGTGGGTTTTGTTTTGTTTTTGTTAATCCTCACCCAAGGATATGTTTCCATTGATTTTTAGGGAGTGGAAGAGAGAGGGAAAGATAGAGGGAAACACATCAGTTGGTTGCCTCCTGCACCCGCCCCAAACAGAGCCCTGGTCAGGGAGGAACCTGCAACTAAGGTATGTGCCCTTGACAGGACTCAAATCTGAGACACTTTGGTCTGCAGGCCGACGCTCTATCCACTGAGCCAAACAGGCTAGGGCTCATAACATTACTGTTAAATGTCTGGCTCAAAGACAGACCTACCTCCTCCATGAACCTTCTGGACACACTTGTGTCCATGACAAATCCCTTTCTCTGAACTTCTAGAGCCCATTCTTTACTGGTTTCACCATTTCACCCTGTGGGCTTGTTCTCTAATTGTTGGTATATATATCCTGATGTCTGGTCTCCCCAAGTAGATCAAAGCATCCAAGGATCTTATGTTCTTTTTCTATAGCCCTCAAAGCACCTGGTACAGGCTGGATCTATTGTCGACACTGACTAAGCACCTGTTATAACTTAAATTTAGAGACCCCCCCCCCCACACACACACATACACACACACTTCTTGTTATGACATATATTTAGAGACCTCGTCTCACAGGTGAGAATCAATCAGTGACTGTTTAGAAGCTATGAACCTTCCACATTGGAAGAACCCTGCAAAAACTCAGGGGGTTTCTCAACTTTACCGATGATGGAGGGCCTGACTTAACATTCCTGAATGAGACACACGTCTAGCTTCTTCAGAGCTGGTCTATCTCTCCCTATGTAACTGGGCTCAGAGAGCTTTCTAACTAACATAGGACGGCACCTCCTACCAACCTCCCCCTTCCTCCAAATAATCTGACATTGTCTCCAGACTATATAGTGGCCTCATCAGGAAAGGAAGGTTAAAGCCAACAGCCAGCTATGCTAAGACAGCTTGGATTTAATTCACTGTGTTGGGGAATATATCATAGTCTGCCTCAGCCAAGAATTCCTCCCTCTGAGAGCATGAATCAAGCAAATCCAGAAACATATTGGTGGTTTCCTAGCCATCCAATAAAATCAAAGATTGCTTTGCAGGCCCTGGTTGTTAGTATGTGGAGGCATATTGTGGTTCCTGGGCCTGGAACGCTTTCCCCACCCTGGTACCTGGCTTATTTCTTACTTGCCTGCTTGGCTTAATTGTCCCTTCCTCAGACAAGCCAGGAGTCTGAGTAAAATACACCAATTGCACCCTGTTTTCTTCTCTGCTGTCCTCAACATGATTGTAATTAAATAACTATCTGTGTGTCCCAGCTCTGTCTCCCACTGTGGAAGGTTAAGGTCCATGTGTTTCGGGACCAAGGCTGTCTTGCTGACTGTTGCATCCCAGTGTTTAACAGGGAGCCCGGCCCCGAGAAAGCATGCATAGATATTGATGTTGAATGAATAAACTAGTCCATTAGCTGAAGGGCTTTGCTCACCTTGTTGTAGGTGCTTTACCAATGACCCCACTTTTACGACTGTTCCTGATGCTTCATGACCCAGAACCATTGGCTTTTTCACAATAAAATCCCCAATTCGACCATGCTGCCAGTAGTGGACATCTGAGCCGCAGATTCCAACGGAATGCATCTTCAGCAGCACCTCTGATAAGAAAAAGGAGACGGAGAAAACAAGTGAGGGCGGGAACAACCCTTCCATTACCCTGAGGCGATTCTCTAGATCAGTGGTTCTCAACCTTCCTAATGCCGCGACCCTTTAATACAGTTCCTCATGTTGTGGTGACCCCCAATTTCACTGTTACAAATTGAACATAATTAAAGCATAGTGATTAACCACAAAAACAATATGTAATTATATATGTGTTTTCTGATGGTCTTAGGCAACCCCTGTGAAAGGGCCGTAGGGGTCGCGACCCACAGGTTGAGAACCACTGCTCTAGATGAAGGAGAGGGCTTGGCTTCAAAGGCCAGGTACACAATTTAGGCCACAGAGGAAGGCAAGCTAAACAGCAACCCTGATTGAGTCTTGCAAGGCAAGAAAGCTTCCACAGAGTAAAATAACTGCATATGAGGGTTAACTCTACATGCCAAGTTGGCTAGGCTATGGTGCCCAGTTGTTTGGTCAATCGCTAGATGTGGCTGTAAAGGTATTTTTCAGATGTGATTAATACTTAAGATATGGAAACAACCTAAGTGCCCATCAATGGGTAAATGGATAAAGAAAATGTAGTACATATACATAACAGAATATTATTCAGCCATAAAGAAGGACATGTTGCCATTTGCGACAACATGGATGGACCTTCAGGGCATTATGCTAAGTGACGTAAGTCAGACAGAAAAAGGCAAATACCAAGTGATCTCACTAATATGATATTGTAGAATCTAAAAAACCCAGGAACAACAACAACAACAAAGAATAGGCTCACAGATACATAGAACAGATTGGTGGTTGCCAGAGGCAGAGGGTAGGGGATAGATGAAATGGGTGAAGAAAGTCAAAAGGCACAAACTTTCAGTTGTGAAATAAGTCATGAAGACCTAATGTACAGCATAGTAACTATAATTAATAATCCGGTGTTATCTGAAAGATGCCAAGAGAGTAAATCGTAGAAGTTTTCATCACAAGAAAAAACTGTACTACATGAGGTGATGAATGTTAACTAGACATTGTGATGATCACTTCACAATAGATACAAATACTGAATCATTATGTTGAACACCCAAAACTAACATAATGTTGTATATCAATTATACCTCAATTTTAAAAAAACAAATACTCAAATAATTAGACTTTTTGTAAAGCAGATTACTCTCCATAATGTGGATATGCCTCATTCAATCAGTTGAAGTCCTTAAAAAAACAAGATTGAGGTTTTCTGAAGCTCAAGACTGACATTTTACCTAAATTTCCAGATTGCTGGTCAGCCCTACAAACTTCAGATTTGCCAGCCCCGATAATCATGTGAGCCAATTCTTTATTTTTTTATTTTTTATTTTTTTAAATGTATTTTATTGATTTTTTACAGAGAGGAAGGGAGAGATAGAGTTAGAAACATCGATGAGAGAAACATCGATCAGCTGCCTCCTGCACACCTCCTACTGGGGATGTGCCCGCAACTAAGGTACATGCCCTTGACCGGAATCGAACCTGGGACCTTTCAGTCCGCAGGCCAACGCTCTATCCACTGAGCCAAACCAGCTAGGGCGTGAGCCAATTCTTTAAAATAGATCTTCCCCCTGCCCTCTGTATACATGTATAATAAATCTATATAACAAATCTCTCTCAGTTCAGTTTCTCTGGAGAACTCTAATACACTGCATAAATAAGATATTATTAGGAGGAAGAAATTTATTAATCATGTAAGAGAAAAAACTGTTTTCTAGGAGATAACTGTTACTAGACAATTAATAGACTATGCCTGATTCTTATCTTACGAAAGGGAGACTGGCAGAATCTAGGCTTGGCAACACTTCAGGAGCTATCAAGCTATGTTTTCATGCCTGTGGTTTTGTTAACAACGGCCGTGTTAATTTAAGCCACTCAAATATTTCAACTGGCATTTCAACCTTCATAGGTTTGACTATAGTGAGATTTGGTGGTATTGTTGTTGTCCGTTTTCCAAGTTTAAAATAATAATGCTACTGAGCCCCTTTGCTAAAATAAGTCCTAAAGGATTACTGGCCTAGTCTGACTGAGATGACCATGTTACAAGTATCTCCCTGAGAAAAACAAAGAGACCTACAGCTGTGCTGTGCACTCAGGTGTCTTACACTGTCCTTGCCACCAACCTGAGGTGATCCACCAGGTGTGGCTCTGTAGAACTTTCTCCACTTTTGGTTTGGGTGAACATAGTAAGAAATGCAGGGTGAGTTCTGAAATCTAAGGTAGGGAAAGTCATTTGAGTTAGGAAAATTATCTCAGAATTTCCTCTCTTGAAGTCACCAATTTGTAATAAGAGGTTAAATTCGACTTGCTAGCCCGGCTGGTGTGGCTGGTAGTTGAGCATCAATCCATGAACCAGGAAGTCACGGTTTGATTCCCAATCAGGGCAGCACATGCCCAGGTTGTGGGCTCAATCCTCAGCAGAGGGTGTGCAGGAGGCAGCCAATCAATGATTCTCATCATTAATGTTTCTCTCTTTCCCTCTCCCTTCCCCTCTCTCTCAAATCAATAAAAACATTTTTTTAAAAAAAAACTGACTTGCTAGAACTCTAGCTGAAATGTACCATTGTTTCCCCTTCCAATTCAGGGACAGCAAGAGGCAAGAAAGTGAGAGCAGAATGCTGCCTCCAGGAGAAAAGCAGTACCAGGATCCTTTGAGTCAAAGGCAGCCCTTGTTTGGCCACCTCTAGAATCAACACCAACTTTCCAGGACACAGTGAGCTGTCTCTCTCACTTCTCTAACAATGATATCTTGGTGAAAACACATAAGTCCTAGATATACATTACTTGCTAAATACTGATAGAAACAGCTCTTGTCTGTAAACCAATAACCCAACTGATCTTTGAGTAGCAAAGCTCTGGGAACTCCAGGAACACTTCCTTCAAGCTGATGTTCACCCAGAAGCTACAGTTGTGGGGTAAGGTGGGACAGCACATCCCAACTCAATCAAGGACAGAAAGGGGATCTGACTGACTGGATGTGAGATCAGCTATCTGTAGACACCCTGCCCCTTGCTCTCAGCCTTACTGACAGATCACCAAGTGGAAACTCCAGGGATGGGAGGGATTGGAAAACTGTCAGCAGGGATCTGCCTTAGTCAATAGGGCGGCATGACTTGCCCAGGTAGACACCACCCAGGAAACATGTGTGTCATTTCAGCCACAGACTTTCACAGTGAGAGGCTAGAGTGGAACAAAGGTGGTGGAACCCTGCCCCAGTGTGCACACCCTCTTTCGGCACCTGGATGATTAGGGCAGTGGGGCAGGGTTCCATGCAGCCCCTCCCATCCCCACTGGACAGGTCCTGGACTTCCTGGCATGATACTTCCTTTTCTGACCAAAACATTAATTTCTGCAGTCTCATTTCTTTTCAAAATTTGGATTCTGCCACCCAAATGGTAGCTTATCGTGGGTATAGAGTATCCCAAGATCAAAAGAACAATTCTGCGTTTGGTCCATAAGATGTTTTATGCTCAAAAGTCAGTAGTCTGATATGGTAACTCTTCTCATTCTACCACTGTCTATTTTATTGCATCAGCCAAGTGGAGTGTATCCAATTACGCTGTGGACAGTGGATGAGGTGGAGCCTAACAAAAGCATAGCTTTAAATAGAGGCAAAAGTATAAATTGTAGCAGAAGAGGGTGAGGGAGCAATGCCCATGTGACTCCAGGGGAAATAAGAAAATATGTTGAATATCCCAAGGACCTACCATTTGGGCCTGGTTCAGGAATAGGGTAGTTCTCCTAAAGAAAATAAAACAGAAAAATCATTTAGCATGCATCATAAATTTACCTTATGAACATTTTCATTTTTAAAAAAATTAAAGTGGAGTTTCATTCAAATGTTTCTTTTTAGAGTTAACACAGGCTCAGGCCATACCGTTGCTGGGCGGCTGCCAGAGGGGCTACACTGAATAGTGCTGCACTCACATCACTCAACGATGCACTTTGCCTAGGGCTCAAAGAAAAGTATGCTGTATGCATCCCCAGGTGAAAGGATGTTTGGGCTGCCAACTAGATTTGCATTCCTTATCAGCGCCTTCTCTCCTGAAAACACACTGTTAGATACAGATTTGTTTGGTCTGGCAAACTAGGGCAGGGAAAGTTAGAGGGTGTTTCTAGCAGCTACATGAGAGCAGCTCCAAGGGCTGAAAAAGTGTGAAGCTGCTCTTTTCCCTCTACACCAGGGCACAGACCAACACTTGGCCCTCTCTTTCAAAACACCCTTTGTGGAGTTTTAGAGGTCCTCTGGGAATACATGGGACCTGTTCACAGGTTCAAAAAGCAATCTGATTATTTCCGCGTTCACAGCTATTATTTATTTTAGAGAAAGGAAGGGAAAAAGAGAAAAATTGATTTGTTGTTCCATTTATTTATGCATTTATTGGCTGATCCTTGTATGTTCCCTGACTGGAGATCAAACCCACAAACTTGGCATATTGGGACGATGCTCCAACCAACTGAGCTGCCCAGCTAGGATACAGCTATCATTATTATTTTCCCTCAATGTCACCTGGCTAGGAAATTCCTGGTGATGAGGAAGGACAGTGAGTGGGCAAATCCAAGTGGTTATTTTATTAACTAGAGGCCCAATACACAAAATTCGTGCAAGGGTAGGCCTCCATGGCCCCGGCTGCCTCACAGCCCTGCCCCTCACCCACAGGTCATTCCAGAAGGTTGTTCTGCCATCCGGTCTAATTAGCATATTAGCTCTGTAGTATATAGGATTCTTTGAATGCAGCCTAAAAGAGGAAGAAGGGATACTATGTGTCAGACAATGTTCTGGGCTTTACACACATCATGGCACATGGTCCTCACCGTAGCCCATAATTTGCAGATGAGAAACCTGAGGCTGGGAAGTTCAATAACTTGGTCAAAATCATACTGCCAGAGTGGATATATCAGGGCCAACCCCAGGTGTGTCTGATTCCCAAGCCTGCTTCAATGCATCCCACTGCACCCCCAAGGTGGAATATGCCTTTTCTCCTTCAGGGGTGGTGACGCCAGGAGCCATCTATTGGGCGACGAAGGAGGTCGGGGCTGGGCCACACACAGAGCACTCTGGGAGGGACACTGCTCAAAGCTTGTCTGCTGAAAGCTTCCCCAAGATGCTTTCATAGGTAGCAATACACAACATGGGGCTATTTAGCTCACAAGATAATAACCTTAATGCCAAAGACCATGCCTTCAATCTCTTCAGAACCAGGTAGTGTTCTGCCTCAAACCTGGTGTTCTTATACTGGTTGAATATCTATTCTCCCTAACAGTGTTTCCAGGGAAGGTCTGAGGTTCTCGCGCATCTCAGATTACCAGCCCTTTCTGTTGAAGTAGCTCAGTGCTAATTTGAACTCCTTGCCTCCAGTGAAACAAAGCCCAAAGTGATCATGCTAATGCTGACCAACTGCTTTGTATCAGGTTCTGTGCTAAGTGCTGCACACGCATCACCTCGTTTAACCCTCGCAGCAGCCTATGTGGTACCTTCTGTTATCATCTCATTTTCCCTATGATGAGACTGAGAAGGGTGAGACTTAGCAAACTGCCCATGGTGCCGCTAAGGTAGTAAATGGTGGAGCTGCATCCAAAGCAGCCTGATGTGGGCAGAGGGGCTCATGGCAGTTTTTCATCTCTTCGTAATTTAAACTGGCTACATCTGCAAGGAAGGAAGACAGACGTGAGGAAGGGAGGGAAAGAAGTGGGCAGAGAATCCATTTAGAAATGGGCAACTCAGGATAGCTAGCACCAAAATCTTTTTCAAAGAAGTTGCTGGTCCCACACCTGACATTACACAACAACAGGGACTGCTGTATAGTTGTTTCAGTGATACTGAGTGAAATTTTTTAAACTGCAGGTTAAAACAGGCCTTTATTTCAAACATGGAAATGCACCCCATTCTGCCCCCTAAAGGCACTAGTAGGAAACTTCTCAGGTATGGAGAAAATTCCTCAGCATACTTTTCGTAGCTTGCCTCCAGCCAGGCTAGGCCTGAACACCCCATTTGAGAGTGGAGACGGGGTAAGATTCCAGCTCACAGCAACTGTTGGGCACACCGAGCAGGCCCTGGGTGTCACTAGACATTACTACCGTAGATATTTGCTGGAGTTAACAGAGGGGACCAGCTTTGACCTTCCCACAGGAGCAAGACTGCAGTGACCTTCCAAGACACTAGGGGGTGCTGCGCCAATAGCCTGGTTTTTCCTTAGTAGCAAAACACACTTTATGATGAAGCGATTATTATTTTTTAAATAATTATTTTTTAAATATTATTTTTTATTGATTTCAGAAATGAAGGGAGAGATAGAAACATCAGTGATGAGAAAGAATCATTGATTGGCTGCCTCTTGCACATCCCACACTGGGGATTGAGCCCGCAACCCAGGCATGTGCCCTGACTGGGAATCAAACGGTGACGTCCTGGTTCATAGGTTGATGCTCAACCACTGAACCACGTCGGTTGGGCTTTATGGAGAATTTAAATACCTTTCCCCATAAATCAACTTTCCTTTTATGCCCCTTTTCTTGCTGACTCTCATCACCCTTACAACTCAGCTTGGCTCCTGACTCCCCTCTCAGCAGGAGACATGCCACCTGAGTACAAGACCATGTTAAAGATCAGCCCTTAAGTTTGTAAGTATCAGCCCAAGCCCAGCTGTGGAGCTCATAGAGTATTAGAAAGTTATCACAGCATGGTTACTAACAAAACCTTGCTTTTTGTTCATGGTTCCTTGTTTTTTGTTGGTGATGTTGGCTACAATCCTGTTTATTCAATCTCCTTTTCTTTCTCAGGTTTTGATGGTGATATTCTTTCATTTATCCTATTTTCCATTTATCAAAGTTCCTTAGCTCCTCTGATATCTGGAACTTTCACTCTTATTCCCATGGCCCAATCAGGCACATTCAAGGTTTCCTAAACCCAATTTCTTATCTGTGAGTGATAGTAGCAGGAGATGAGTTGAGTAACTGTTCTTTATTGTGGTTATGTCAGTTTTCCAGCATTTTTTCACTTTAAGTCATAAATAGTTCACTGCTGGAAGCCGATCCACCCTTGCTGCTTGACGCAGTCGCTGCAGGGAAGAAACATCTGCACAGCTTATGTTCCAAGGGACCTGGTGTATATGACATATGTTTGCTCCCCCTCTTAAGCGCTATGTGTTTTAACCAGGACCACCTCCCCGAGAAAGGTTGTTTCCCCAGGTTAGGGGTTAACAGTACTAAGGAAGAGAATAAATCAGTACCCCCCCCCTAGTGTTACAGAAATACCATGTACTATTTATGAAGAACTTGGACTAAGACTGTTGGCAATAAATTTGGGACTTGTTGGGCCCACATCCCCAGGGGTCTTCCCACCAGGGAAAGCACCAAAGCCTATACCCCTGGAGATCCACCGACACAGGGAAGTCCCAGGGAAGGCAAGCAGCAGGGCTGGGAGGACATAACCTTTGCTGGGTAGGATAAACTCCTTCAGTCACTTCCTTGTAGCTTATCAGTAGAGCAATAGAATAGTGGACCTTGGAATAGCCCTTATAATGGAACACAGAGATTAACCTAGACAAGATTAAAATCAACAGAACTAGATAGAGACAGGATTATGAAAATGAAACTAGGAACTGTAGGTTTCCCGAAACATACCATGATGTAATTATAGAGGCATGCTTATGGGATCAAATAATATAAATATAGATGATATAGAACAATAAAGAGAGAACCCAACCATGCTGATCAACTGAACGCTGCCTCTGTGTCCTTCTTTCTTCGCCGACTCCGTCCACACCTTTGGGAACCCCTGGACCTGATGGGGCTGGACCCCAACAGTTCAAATACATATTCTCCCTTCTATCCCCTTGAGGTCTTCCCATTTTTCCCTCTTCCCCTGACCCCCTCCCCCACCCCCACCACCTGAATAAATCATGGAAATACTGGGGGAATATGTAATCACCTCAGGTGACTCTAGCATCCTAAATGTTATCTTGCCTTTCCTAAATATAGTTTCTCAAATTAGCCTAAATATGTTTCTAAATATATCTTAATGGTCCCCTTTCCTCTACTTCTGCCGGAACATCTGAGTTCACACCCTCTGTATATTTTGCATGGGGTGTAGCACTGGCCTCAACATGAGAAATCAGAGGAAGGTGCCTTTTCCCTCCTCCAGCCAACCTGAGTGGTGCAGTGCAGACACTAGAATCACCTGTCCATGTACAAACCCAGGCTCCCTGCCACCAGCTCTGTGACCTCGGGGTAATTACATAACCTCTTTGTGCCCTGAATTTCATCCTCTGTTTAATGAAGATAATCATAAAAGAGAGTGCCCAACTCAGAGTAAATAGACAGCTTGTTACAAAAGAAAACCAAAGTTCTTTTTCTATAATTAGTTCCCAGTATGGTTGAACCAGCTCTGGACAACCTTGTCCTTTTCCTTTTGAAAGGGCAAAGTTTTTATTGTTTGGGAGAAAAGTTGTATTTCCCTTGTTTTCTTTCTTTTAAAAAAATATTTTTGTTGATTTCAGAGAGGAAGGGAGAGGGAAAGAGAGAAACATCAATGATAAGAAAGAATCATTGATCGGAGATGGCCCCCACTGGGGACCGAGCCCACAACCAGGGCATGTGCCTTGACCAGAAATTGAACCACGATCTCCTGGTTCATAGGTTGACGCACACTGAGCCATGCCCAGTCGGGCTGTGTTTCCCTTGTTTCCATGTCACTACCAGAGAACTTGACTGCTCCTTTAAAGGCTGGGATATAGCCCCCA